TGTTTTGGTTGCTCTGGAATTTTTTTTATATATTCTGGAGATTATCCCCTTGACTCCTGTGTAGTGTGAAAAGATCTTCTCCCATTCTGTTGGTTGCTCTTTTACTTTGTTGATTGTTTCCTTTGCTGTGCAGAAGCTTCTGTGATGTCCCATTTATTTATTTTGGTATTGACTTCCTTTGCTTTTGATGATTTTCTAGGAAGTCAGTGCCTACACCTAAATCTTGCAGAGTGTTTCCAACTTTTTTTCTAAAAGTTTAATGGTTTCTGCATGCAGGTTTAGATCTTTTATCCATTTAGAGTTGATCTTTGTGTATGGTGAAAGGTGTGGGTCTAGCTTCTTATTTCTGCAATCAACCAATTGTCTCAATAGCATTTATTGAAGAGACCCTCCTTTTTCCCTAGATTGCCATTTGTTTTCTTGTAGTTGCAACCATTTCATAACAGTTTCTGGATCAATTCCTTCCCTTTACCTCCAAGCAGCTTTTAGTCTCTATTTTGTCCTTAATGTTAACCATGCTTTTATTTGGTGTGTGTAGTTGGTTATAAGGTTCTTCAGAGTAACATAAAACAAATACATAAAGTGACACCTCAAATAGGAAGCAAAGACAAGGAAATTGTCCAAGATGGGCAAGAATTTTGGTTAGAAGGGAAGGGCATTTTGCACAGTCATTAAGATGTGCCTTGAGTTCAAGTCCCAGCTCTGTTTCCGATCCAGCTTCCTGCTTCTGTGCACCCCCAGAGGCAGCAGGTGATGTCTTAAGTTCTTGGTTTCTTACGCACCATGTGAGAGATCTGGTTTGAGTTCCGGGCTTCTGGCTTTACCTTGATTGGTTCCAGCTATTGCAGGCACTTGGAGAGTGATCGAACAGACAGAATATTCTCTCTATCTATCTTATCTCTTTGTCTTGCAGATAATTAAAAGTTTTAAAAAATGTTTTGATTTGGTGTGGAGCTAAATATGGCAGAAGCAAAAAGGAAACAGAGGAAAGTGGAAGGGAAGGTAGAGTACGACGCTGATTGGATTATAACGCTGAAAAAATTATTTTGATCACCTGTCTGACTTGTTCATTTTGCTTCTAAACCCCGAGCAGAAGTGAGTTGATTTGCATACAGGAAGATCTAGGTGTCTGTAGTCTTTTCTGACAGCCATAAGGTAAAGCAGCAATCAGGCTGGTTTCATCAAGTCCTAGGTGCCCAAGGTAAACCGCAGCTCATCCCACGTCACCTCAGTTTAGCAGCATCAACATGAAAGCCCATGGATTGTATTTTCAGCCGGGGGTTTACCCAGCAGGTACGTGTTATGTATAGTATGGAAATCTCCCCACCCTCACATCCTGCTTTGTTCACAGTGTACCTCCAGGCTGCACACTCACTGTGAAGGCTATGTACAGCTGGCTCTTCACTTAGCTTTTCAAAAAAGGAATAAAAGTTAGTGATTTGAAACATCTTTCCGTTATAAATGCTAAAACTTCATCCATTTGTAATCTTACATGTGTACAATACTCAGTGCCTTACACACAGTTTTTGTGTTTTCATTCTATATCTCTCCAAGTGCAGTCTCATTTATAATAAGGGGCTGTCCCAGCTGTAGGCAACTCCCTAGGCTGCACTGTACCTAGGCAAGTGTTGGACTTCTGGGATAAAAGCAGCCAGTATTTGGCGGGCATTCTGGGTCCGGTTCACACCAAATTTGTGTTAACTATGCCAGTGTGTCAGCATAGTTGACTTATTTTTTCCTTTTTCTTTCTTTTTCCTTTCCTTTCTTTTCTTTTCTCTTTTTTTCTTTTCTTTCTCCCTCCCTCCTTCCCTCTCTCTCTCTCTCAGAGAAAATCATCCATCAATGATTCACTCCCCAAGTGGCCATAATGGCCGGAGCTGAGTGGATCCAAAGCCAGGAGCCCAGAATCTCTTCTGTGTCTCCCACACGGGTGCAGGGTCCCAAGGTTTTGGGACATCCTCAACTGCTTTCCTAGGCCACAAACAGGGAGCTGGATGGGAAGCGGGGCTACCAGGATTAAAACCAGTGCCCATATGGGATCATGGCGCATGCTAGGTAAGGACTTTAACCATCAGGCTACCGCACTGGGCCCTGAGGGCAGATTCTGTAGGGAAATTGTAAGCTTGCCTCTGTGGGACTGCAATGCCAGATGGTTTATGTGGAGAGCTGGGGATGGTGATCAGCTGAGCCAGTCTGGACCACAGAATTCACCTCACAGGAACCCACCTGACACGCAAAGGAGCCAGGTCTGAGAGGAGACTGGGTGGGGCCAGGCTGCAGTACCCACTGGCACATGCAAGGGCCAGGACTGAGAACAGACCATGCCAAGCGGGCCACTGCCTCCACTGGCATATGTGAGATCTGGGGATGGCAGCAGGCCTGATGCGGAACTAGAGAGCTCCCCTATTAGGCTCCAGCTTCCTCTGGAGAGCACAAAAGCTGGGGCTGGGGGCAGGTCAGGCCAGGCAGGGCTACAGTCAACATTTAAGTGGGCTGGGTGTGGGGACAAGTCTGGCTGAGCCAGGTTTCAGCACCTGCTGGCCCCTGTGAGAGACAGGACAAGGTGTAGGCTGTACCCAACTGGGGTAGGTTGCAACACCTGCCAGCAAGAGTTGAGATCACAGATGGCCATGCCAGGCTGAGTAAAAGCCTTCACCAGCACATGCAGGATTCTATGCTGGAAACAGGCCTGGTAGGGAAACTCTGGGGACACTCCTACTGGTCTGCATCTCCCACTTATGAATGGGAGAGTAAGGGCTGTGGGTGGACCAGGCTGGACAAGGCTTTAGCACCTGTCAGCTTGTATGTGGGCTGGGTACGGGGCTGAGCCAATTTCCAGGTGAGCTTCAGCACGACCTGGAAATTGCAAGAGCCACAATGAGTATGGGACAGGTCAGACCAGGCCACAGCACCTACTGCTTCACATGAGAGTTGGGTCTAGGGGTGGACCAGGCTGGGTTTAGGCTGTAGCACATATTGGTGAGAGCCGGAATGAGTGTGGGCCAGTTGGGCTAGGCTGCAGTACAAACCAGTGAGTGCCAGGACTGGGGGCCAGCCATGTCAGTCTGAATAGCAGCACCAACAGGTACATATGGGATCTGGGGCTGGGAGTGGGCCTGGTAGGGGAACTTGAGGAATTCTATTAGGCACAGTTCCTGCTGGCGAGCACAGAAGCCAGGGCTGGGAGCAGGCCAGACCAGGCTGGGCTGTAGTACCCACTGGCACATGTGTGAATCAGATCTGGGGGTAGGCCAGGCAGGGTCAGTCCACAGCACACACTGACACTAGTGTGAGCCAGGACAAGGTACAGGCCAGGCCTGGTTGGACTATAATACCCACCAGCTCACATGAGGGCTGGGGGTGGACCAGACTAGGTCAGGATGCTGTACCCATTGGTGAGAGCTGAAATCAGGGGCAGACTGTGTAGACCCAGGCTGTAGAACTTGCTGGTAAATGCCAAGACTGGGTGTGGGCCATCTCAGACTGGACAGTGATACCTGTTGGTACACACAAAAGCCAGGGTTGGGAATAGGTCTGGCAGGAGAACTTCGGGGACGCCCTTATTAGACTGCTGCTTTCACTGGTGAGTGTGAGAGCTCAACTTGAGGCTGGTGTGGTTTAGGGGTGGGCCAAGCTGGTTTAGGCTGTTGAACCTGCCAGCATGCACAAGGCCATCCATCTAGGGCACAGCACCAGCTGGCAAGTGGTGAGACTGTATGAGTCATGACAGGCAATAAATACCCTCTGGCAGGTGCAAGATCTCTGGCTGGGAACATGCCTGGCAGGGGAACCTTGGGCACTCCCCTGTTAAGCTATACCTATTACTGGTGAGCACAAGAACCAGGGCTGGGGGTAGGTCGGGCAGACAAGGTGACAGCACCTGTTGGCAAATTTGAGGGCTGGGCCTATGGGTGTGGCGGGGCTAAGCTAAGCTGCAGCATCCGTGGGTGTACACAAGAGGCAGATGGGATATGGGCTGGGCTGGCTTAAGCCACAGCAGAGGCTGGCACGTGCAAAAACCAGGGCTGAAGGTCTGGTGAGGGTTATTGGGGGTCAACTTGACTAGGCTGTGGCATCTGCAGATATACATGAGGACTGGGTCTGTGGCAGGCTGGTTGTCCTGGTCCACAGCACCTGTTGGTTCAGATGAGGCATGGGGCTGGGGTGGAACTCAACAGGCAGCTGCATCCACTGGTCTGTGCATTGACTGGTGTAGGTAACAAACCACATCTAACCCTACACTGGCTGGTGCACATGACAGCCTAGTCTGTAGTCACACCAGGTAAGGTGTTTTTGGGGGGACTCCCTAACCAGACTGCTCAATTCAGACCCTGGCTACAGAGAAAATCACAGGATGTGTGGTTTGACCTTGGAGTGCATGTATCCAAATGAGGCTTTTTCAATTACTAATGCCTGTGCAGAGGACAATATGTCCAGATGCACATGGGGACAAGATGGCCAGCTCACCTAGGTCATCAAGAGACACTAACTGCTTCATCAGAGTACGGAAAGCAGAACTGCCTGTATAATCTCCTGGCAAGCTTTATAGCATGTTCCTGGGTCTGTGTATGCACTAAGGTGATTTTGTCAACCAACAGACCTTGGAAAGATTTTCTCAAACCTGAAGCAATGAAACCAACTTCTCAGAACTAACAAAGTCACTCAATTAACACCTTTAGAATACTCTTCCTCACATAGGAGTCTCAAAAGCATCATCAAAGGACCACCCACATCCCCAGGTGCTGACGTAGTTTGACAGCAAGGAGTAGCCACCTCCCCTCCATCCCCTGTGAACACAAGAGAAAAAAAAAAAAAACTGAAATGCATGTCTCATCCAACTTTCTCTGTACCCAAACTTCCCCAGCCTAATCAGAGGCCCACATAAGTGTGCATCCCTCTCAACTATGTAAACAATAGTACACATTTAAAAATAAGTAATAAAAAAATAAATACAATGTAGGGGTTACAGGTGTTTGGCTTAGTGGTTAAGATGCTGCTTGATGCCTGGGTATGAGTCCCAACCTTGCTGCTGACTTCGGCTCCCTGCTGCTACACATCCTGGGAGGATCCTCAGGTGGCCCTTGCCACCCACATGAGAGACCTGAATTGAGTTCTAGCTCTTGGCTTTACTCTGGTCCAGCCCTGGTTTTTGTGGTCATTTGAGGAGTAAATCAATATTTAGAAGCTAGCTCTGTTTCTTAAAAAGAAAAAAATAAATAGATTAAAATGAAAAATACATAATTGTGGTTATGATTTTAACAAAACAATCATTGCTAGCTTAAATAGTTATAAAAATTACTAGTTCATAATTCATTCAACTCACTATTAATCTACCATAATTTGTTTACTTTTTTGCTTTCTTGTCCATCTTCATTGCACTTACCTACCAGCTTTTAAATGCTCAAAATTTAGGGTCATGGTTTATATGTACCTTCACTATACTCCTCCAAAGAAAAATGATCCTAGTTTTCCAACTTGGGTCCCCAAAACATGGCTTCTGCAAAGACAGATGCTGAGAAGAAGGGCTGTTCTGCCATCAACCAAGTGGTGACTTGAGAGTACACCACCAGTACTCACAGGTACATCCATGGAGTGGACTCCAGGAACTGTGACCTTTGGGCAGTCAGAGATCCAGAAGTTTGTCATGGAAGAGAAGGAGACTCCAGATGTGCACGCTAATAGTAGGCTCAACAAAACTATTAGAGATGGGGGCCACCTTGGCTTGGGCTAGGCACCCAACTGAGACACCCCATTGGCCCCTTTGGCGGTGGGGGGTGGTGTGTGGCCTAGCTCTGGAGCTGGGAATTTAAACCTCCAGCTGCTGAAAAGTCTCCGGCTACATGGCTGGCATACCACATAAGCATGGTTCAAATCCTGACTGTTCTTCTTCTTACCCAGATCCCTGTTAATGTGTTTAAGAAAGCAGGAAAATGACCCACATACCAACGCCCCTGACATTCCCATGGGGGACCCAGATGGAATTCGAGGCTCCAGATTTCATCCGGGCTCAACCTCAAGCCATTGCTGGCATTTGGGAAGTGAATTAGTGTATGGAAGGTCCCTCTCACTCTCTCTGTTTCTTTCTTTCTCTCTGTAACTCTGCCTATCAAATAAATAAATACATCTTAAAAAGGAAAACAAAAATGAAACCTCCTTCCTACCTTTCAACTGCTAATTCACTCCCCAGATGACTGAAATAGCCAGGTATGGGACAAATCAAAGCCAGGAACCAGAGAAATCAGGCACTTCACCCAGGTCTCCCATATAGGTAGCAGAGACCCAAACACTTGGGCGATCTTCTGTTGCTTTTCCCAGGACATTAGCAGGGAGCTGGATCAGAAGTGGTATAACTGGGACTCCAACTGGTGGCCGTATGGAATCCTAGCACTGCAGGCAATGGCTTTACTTGTTACGCCTCAGTGACAGACTTATCTTTTTTTTTTTAGTTGAAAGGGAAAGCTGCACAGAGGAGAGACAGAAAGCTTGTCCATCTGCTCGTTCATTTGTTATTGAACCTTCCTTTACTACACCTTCCCCTTCTCCCACACAATCTCCCATCCTGTTTGCCTACTTGTTTTTCTCCATGGAACTACTCAACATTAGACATAACATACACTTCACTTGCTATGGTCTAATGCAAGCCCCTTGAGAATAAGGTTATTCACCTGTTTTGCTCAGGGCTGTATTCCTGGCATCTAGCATCAAGCCTGACACAAAGTAGGAACTTATTATTATTGAAAGAGCAGATGAGTTTATGCTGAATCATTTCATGTATGTTTCTTTTCTATTGGTGTAATCCAGTCTAGTTTAATTTAACCATTGCCACATGCTTTTGGTACCTGTGGCCTTAGCAAAATGATGTAAATCTTTTGAATTTCTTTCTAATTAAGATGGGCGGTAACTGTACTTAGATTTCATTTAAATATTTATTGTTATTTGAAAGCCAGAGTTGCAGAGAGGGAAAGACACAGAGACATGTCTTCCATTCACTAGTTTACTCCTCAGAGTCTGCAAGAGCCACGACTGATCCGGACTGAAGCCAAAGCCAGGGGCTTCTTCCAGTTCTCCCACGTGGGGGTGAAAGGTTGAAATTCCAAGCACTTGGACCATCTTCTGTTGCTTTTCCCAGGATACTGGCAGGGAGCTGGATTGAAAATGAAGGAGCCAGGGGTTGGAACCAGAGCCTCTGTGGGTTGCTGGTGTCTCAGGTGGCTGGTTTATCTGCCACAGCATAACATCAGCCCTGGACTGAAATTTTTACAGGATGTAAAGTGGTTAGTGTGCCTGACTGATAGTAACGTCTCGATTATGATTATGATTTGCTTCATTACTCATCAGAAGTAGGCTTATGGGAGGAACCTGGTGGAGGTTATAAAGCCACTTCAGACAGCTGGAATTAAAAGAGAAACTTATAGGGAAAAAAAAAAGTTAAAAGGTTGAAATCCATGCATATGAGGAGAGAAGGTACACTTCCTATATTTAAAGGTAGTAGTCTCAACTTTTACTTATTATCTTCTTTTTAAAAAAATATTTTTTCATTTATTTTTATTGCAAAGTCAGATATACAGAAAGGACAGAGAGAAATATCTTTCTTCCGATGAAAGATATCTTTCTTCTTCCCCAAGCAGCCACAATGGCCAGAACTGAGAAAATCCAAAGCCAGGAGCCTCTTTCGGATCTTCCATGAGGGTGCAGGGTCCTCAAGGCTTTGGGCCATCCTTGACTGCTTTCCCAGGCCACAAGCAGGGAGCTGGATGGGAAGTGAAGCTGCCTGAGTTAGAACCAGCGCCCATATGGGATCCTGGTGCATTCAAGGTGAGAACTTTAGCCTCTAGGCCACCGTGCTGGGCCCACTTATTATCTTCTTAAAACACAACATGAAATGACATTTTTTTCATTTAAGAAAATCACTCAACACCTTTAGAGAAAATATATTAGCTCTTTAGTGAACAAGAGTTTTATCTTCACTGTTCGATTCTCTGACTAATTCCAAAGTATTTGCTCAAGGAATTTCATTGAAAAAAATGCATGGAAGAATGAATCTCAACGGGCATAAGTATATCATATGGGTTGACAAGCAGCACATGCAAGGGCCTGTTGCTGATATGACAGACACACATACAAAACAACACTGTGTGACTATTTAAAGACTTCAACAAAGTGATCATTGAGCCTGGAGGATATACGTTTGTCTCAGAAGCAGCTGTCTGACCCAGGGAGGGGGAATTTGGATGTATCACCCTGAGCAAAGTGAAAAAACAAAACAAAACAAAACAAAACAAAAAAAGCCCACTCCAGAAAAAATGTCTTGGCCACAAGTTTCTCTGAAGAGCCTTTCAAAGAAATCAAACGTCAATGGCTTATCAAGTTGACATCAAGAGCAAAACATCAGGCATCACAGTGTGTGAAATCCTATGGTGATTCAAGAAGTGTATGAATTCCTGTGGTTCCCAGCAAGTACCCACGCATATGCTATACATCCTGACCCCGGGCTTGATGCAGAATGAGTGCAATGAGCCACGTGGCCTGAAGCAGAGAAGCAGCCCTGATCTGGGTTTCAAGATCTAGGCTGCAATCCAGTTCTTCACTCCCACCCTGAGCAAGAAAACCCCAAGCCTCTTGTTTTCCTAACTATACACTTGGGTTTTTTAAAATTTATTTTCTTCAGGTGAGAGGAGGGGTGACAACCCCTCCATGTCCTACAAACTGCCTCAAATGACGAGTGGAAGAACTCTCACCTCACTGAACCACTCAATCAGCAACTACTTCTGAGTGCCTGCCAGCACTCTACCACCTGCACCCTGGGGCCAGGGAGACTAGAAGCTCAAATACACAGGTACACAGTCCACTCCCAGGATTTTAGCCCCAGAAAGGAACTCAGTGGAGATAAAACGCATTTGCAGAAAGATGATCCTTGTTGGACTCTCCATAGCAAAAACAAAACTGGATGTTTACAACCCAGCTATTCACAGGAACAGAATGGATTCATTAATTGTACATCTCAACAGTTTGATTTAAAACAACAAATAACAAAATTAAATAGTCTAGCCTGCCTACCCAAACCTGCACCCTAACAGGGTTAGGTTGTCTGTGGTGTGTTTGTGGGGAGGCTGGTAGCCCTGCCCTGAAGGGTGGCTGCTTAGAGGCTGGGACAAAGGGGAGCATGTTGGTGACAGGTCACAAAGGACAGCAGAGGATAAATGTGATGTGTAAGGAGACTGGGGCCGAAGCCCTGCAGGGAGATGGGCAATTGCCTTCACACACTCTCTCTCTTGGGGACTCACACTGTGGCTGGTGGAGCTGTCCAGAATAAAGAGAACAATGAGCAATGAATCTGTATCTTTGTTACCGTATTACACGGCCCACAGCTACCGTTCAACAGGTGTGTTCAACACCTCCATGGGGGACTTGCAACGGCAACTGTACAAGGGAGGAGAGTATGACATCTTCAAGTATGCACCCATGTTTGAGAGCGACTTCATTCAGATCAGCAAGAAAGGAGAGGTAATTGACGTTCACAACCGTGTCCGCATGGTGACAGTGTGCATCGCTTCCACCAGCCCCATCCTCCCGCTCCCTGACGTCATGCTGCTGGCACGGCCAGCAAAAGCCTGTGAGGAGCATGTCAAACAGGGCCGGATCAGCAAGAACAAAGGCCGCAAACCTCTAAAGACGCTAGAGCTCACGAGGCTGCTTCCCTTGAAGTTTGTCAAGATTTCCATCCATGATCGTGACAAACAGCAGCTGCGCCTCAAGTTGGCCACTGGCCGGACGTTTTATCTACAACTGTGTCCCTCTTCAGATGCACGAGAAGATCTCTTTTGTTACTGGGAGAAACTTGTCTACCTGCTGAGGCCACCAGCAGAGAGCAGCAGCAGCACCCCGACACTCCAAACTGCGGATGCGACAACTAATGATGATAAGAGCCTGGTGGTAAGTTCTGGAGGGGTCCAGGGTGTGGAGTGTGAGGCTTTGGGAAGGTGGCTGTAAACTTGCTGCTGTCCTCTGAGTCCCACCTGAGAAACGCATTCCATGTCAAAGGACCCAGGGCCATAAGACTTACCATTAGGGGTATACCCATCCTGGAAGACTGATCTATTTCTCACAAAATGCTCTAGTAGGTTAAGTTTCAGGAACCCTAGGTACAAATGACTCTATTCTCATTTCCAAGCCTGCAATTCCTTCTACAGAATCCTGATTCCCAGTCTCTCTTTTTAAAAAGAGTTATCTATTTATTTCAAAGTGACACAAAGAAAGGGAGAGGGAGAAAGAGAGACAGAGATCTTCTATCCACTGGTCCACTTCCTAATTGGCCACAGTAGACTGAAACCAGGAGCCCAGAACTTTTTCTGGGCCTCCCACATGGATGCAGGGGCCCAAGCACTTGGGCCATCCTCTGCTGCTTTCCCAGGCCACTAATAGGAAGTTGGAGCAAAAGTGTAGCTGCTAGGACTTGCCTGCTAAAATCGCAGGCAGCAATGTTACAGCTATACCACAGTGCTGGCCACCCAATCTCTTCTTTAACACTTTCTACCTTAACCCAGGTAGCTTTATTTATTATAGAAAATTTTATAGTATTTTATTTTTGAGAGAGAGAATGAGAACTATATACAAGGAACAATCCTATGTGCTGACTCCCTCTTTGAATGCTTCAAACAGTCTCAGGGAAAACATCAAAGCCAGGAGGCAGGTGTCCATCAGGTATCCCACAGGGGTGACAGGAACCCAAGTCCCTGAGTCTCCATCACTGTGTTCCTGGGCCTGAACTGGAACAAAATTGGAGTCAAGAGGCAGAAGCAGGCAATGAATACAAGTGTCTCAGTGTGAGATGTGGGCATCTTAATCACTAGCCCAAATCCTGCCTTTATTACTTCTAAAAATTGCTTTTCATTAACTTCATTTTTTCACACACGCACAGAGAGAGAGAGAGAGAAAAACAGAGACAGAGAGACAGACAGAGACACAGAGAGAATCTTCTCATTGGTTCACTCCTGAAATGCTGGCAGCAGACAGAAGCAGGACCAGGCCAAAGCCAAGAGTCCAGAAATCAATCTGAACTTCCCATATGGTTACAGAGACCCAAGTGTTTGATCCGGTTTATTTACCTGTTGCTTCCCAGCCCATGTGTTATCAGAAAACTGGAATGCAGAGTAGAGTCAGGACTCAAACCCAGGCACTCCCAGTGTGCAATGTGGGCAACCCCAAAAGAATGTCATCTGCTGCCTCACTAGTGATCATTGTTTTTTAATTGACAATGGTAATTGTACATATTCATGGGATAGTATTTCAATACTTGCATGTAATAAAATGACCAGTAGTTGGTACAACTCTGACATTTATCATTTCTTTGTATTGGGAACATTCAAAATCCCCTCTACAAATAACTAATTGTTGTCAACCATGCCATTGTGCTACAGGACATGAAAAGTTTTTTTTTTTTTTCCCATCCACCTGTACCCCTGTCCGGCTTAATCATCCTCCCCCTGTCCCTCACCCCCAGGCTGTGGTTGCCACCATTCTACTCTCTGCTTCTACTGGATTTTTTTTCACATGGAACATGTTTAGCAATCAGTAAGTCCTTCCTGCATTTGAATCACTGTGTGTGTCTGTGACGGCCATGCACTGATGGCTGTGGGCAACCTGCATGGGTGTGTGCATATACAACAGGGACTTCTATCAGTCTTTCCCCAGGACTGGGACTGTTCAAGGGAAACCGAGTGACTTCTGACAGGAGGACGACAGGTGGGATCTTGCAATAAGTGGATTCTTAGATTCCACGATTTCAAAGGTTCTTCTGATTGTAAGCTTGAGATATTTGGCTCTAGAATGAGACATGAACAGATGGCTCTGGTCTTGGTTCTCTTGCAAGTGCCTCACATGTTTTTCCTCCCCTTTGCACAGGCTTCAGGCTCTCATGGAACTGGAAGCCCAGATGGTGGGACTCAAAAGCTGCAGGAGGTATCTGCAGCCTCCTCCTCTGCTTATGTTGGGGGAGAGGGAATCAAGGTTGCTACAGCTTCTGGAACAGCAAGCACTCCAGAGCACAAGCAAGGAGCTGCAGGAGTGGCAGGAGCGGCAGGAGAGGCAGGAGAGGCAGGAGCGGCAGGAGAGGCAGGAATAGCTAGTGGTGTGGCAGCCACAGGGGTAGCAACAGGCACCAGTACAGGTACAATGATAGCAGGGGCGGTAGTGAGTCCTGCAGCAGGTGCCGTGAGCCTGGCAACAAGCAAGTCCGTGGGCTCAGGTCAGATAATTACGGCCCTGGCAGCAACAACCAACAGTGAGCCAGGAGAATGTGGAGCCAGCAGTGCCGTGGCAGGTGCCGCCAGCATAACTGCTGATGGTGTGAATGTGGTCTTGGCAGGTGTCACCAGCACTGCCTCCTCAGCAGTTACCTCTGCAGTGGCTTCCAGTGTCTCTCCAGATAGCAGTGTGAGTGTGGTATTGGCAAGTGCTGCCATAACAACCAACGTGCCTCCTGCAGAAAAGACTGATGGACACGTGCCACCCCTCGTATCGACCTTGAAGAGTGATGGCTACATGTCCGAACGCGATGGAAGTCAGAAGATCCCCAAGACCCATGCTGAAGTCCAGAAGGAAAGAAAAGAAAGAACTAAAAAGAACAGAAGTAGCAGCAGGAAAAGTTCCCGTCATCATAGGACAGGTGAAGTTCACCACAGGACAGGCGGGGACAAGAGCCGGAAATCATCCTCCCACCGGTCCCTCTCTGGCCGCAAGACAAGAGATGACAAAAGAGAAAAAGGACAGGGCAACCCAAGGAGCAGGGGACATGGCTCTCATAAAAGTGCCAGCCACAGCCCCACCACCAGGGAGTCCAGGACAGCTCACAAACTAGGGAAGAGCCGATCTGCAACCACATCCAGTTCTCTAAGTAAGAAAACCAGTAAAATTGGCTCTTTCTTGAGGAGCTTCAGAGCCATCCCTGGTTCAAAAACAGGAGTGACATCGCATGACAGAGAAGTAGACATCGTAGCTCAGACTGTGGAGAAGCACAACATAGAGGCCAAAGTGGGGAAGGACCAGGATGGTCAGGAGCTGGGGATCACTGGTACCATCACATCAGAGACAAAGGAGACTATAATCTTTGAAGCCAAATCCATTTAGATAGGAGCCAGGGCAGGAAGCTGCAAGCAGACTCCGGTGCTCGGGAAGAATGCATAGAGAGCCAATTCCAGCTTTCTTTATGGCAGTTTAAAATAAAAGAAACCTACAACTCCAAAGGAAGTACTATCTTCTATTTCCATTGTGTCTGTCTGCAGCCTGGCTGTGACCTCACAATGATTTTTGTGATGTTAACAAGGCTACACCCTGAGATACCAAGCTGAGTAGGCCCTTCTCTCCTCACACTAAGCTTCGGCATGGAGCCACTGTGAGCCTTCTGTTTTCCTCAACCCTTTTCTGTCCTTGGTTTCCCAAGACCATGAAGGCCACAGGCAATGGGCTGGGGTGTATGATCACCCCTGCGTCCCTGTGACCACCTTCCTTTGTTCTCTGTTGGTTCCTGCACATGGACGTTTAGTCTAGACTAGACTCAGCAAAGACAGATACTCTGTTTCCTCAAGGTAAAGAGAACAAGTCTGAGGAACAAACCTTGCCAAATGCCTGGACTGGTGAAAGTTTCTTTGGAACAGAGTTACATCCATTCAGCTATACATGGTCCATGGCTGCCTTCACACTGAAACAGCAGATCTGAATACTCGCCTCAGGGATTGCCTGGGCCACACAGTCTAACCAGGCTTCACAGAGAAAGAGGACTGACTCCGCCTTAACTAATTTTAGTAGTTTCCCTTCCTGGGGGGATATTCTCACATACACTTGGTAGCAGACAGCTGGGAGAATGTTCAGAGTGGAACAATTTATACTGACAAAGTCCTGGAACCAGCTTGCATGTTTATGAGACTAAAGAACTGATCAACTGTGGTATATGCTTATAGTGCCTGTTAAGAGAAAAGGAATCGTAGCTGTTCATGTTAGCACAGGTTACACTTGAACATAGCTGAATAATGAAAGCAAGTCAGAAAAAAAAAACCCATATGATCCATTTGTAGAACAGTTCAAAAACAAGATCAAACAATGTTTAGGGGAAACTTATCTTCCAAGATATACAGAAAATGGGGGAACGAAAATATGAAATTCAGGTTGGTGGATGCCAACAGGACGAAAGGGAGGGAGGTGTAGTGTGGGAGACACACAGAAGGAGTTTCAACACAGCGGAGACTGTTCTATTTTTTAAGCAAGAGGATATATTCACAGGAGCTTATTATTATGTCCCTATTTTAACAGCCACGAGATTAGGATGATGTTAGCCTGCTGCCAGCCAGGTGGCATTTGTTCATCATTGTCACTGCCTTGGAAATGCCTTCACAAATTTGTTTCACTTGGATTTTCCTTTTTATATGTGCACAAAGAGAGGTTTATGACAAAATGTCTTTGTCTGAAAGGTAGTTTTTAACAAGTGTGGACTATACAATCTAAGTGGCATATAAAATATACATGCACAACACAAAAACTTCCAACATCCACTGCAAAATAACAGACTAACTCAAATTTTGTGTGACTATGTAAATTGTGTACATGTGGAAAATAATTCCCCAAATTAAAAAATTAGAAACAAAAATACTAATTTTGAAAGTCTCTGTTATGAAAAATATGTTGTCTGTACTCATTTGGGAAGCGGGAATACACACATGCTCTCTTCCATTGATTTACTCCTCAAACACCTCTAACAGCTGCGGCTGGGCCAGGCTGAAGCCAGAAGTCAGAAACCAGAGCCAGGAACATAATCTAGGTCTCCCCTATGAGTAGCAGGAACTCACATGAGTTGTTTCTGTTCCCAGGGTATGCATTAACAGGAAGCTGGAGCTAATTTTCAAAAAAATAGAAATTTACAAATAGAGGACAATCATGGAGTTTTTCTCAATCAGTGATGAAAGTTGGATCTCAGGAACCATGTGTGTTCATATGAACCTGGGTAAGGAGCATCTGCCTAACCTCACACATTTTTGCTCATTCTACCCTGTCTACTAGAATATAACTTGGGTTTTCCAGCAAAACTTAGGAACCTCTTCTGAAGAGCAAATATGCATTTGGAGGTCTGGAAGTAAAAAAAAAAAAATGAAGTCTTCTGGCAGGAATGGTGTCTAGGCAGTAATCAGGGAAGCTGGTCTCAGTTACTCTAGCCGATGCCTAGAAAATTTCATTTTAACAATTTTTTATATACAAAGGCAAACAGATTCTGGGAATCGAGATGTCTTGAAGTTGATTCTGAAATAGTATGAAGTAGAAGGCAGAGAGACTTGTATGTATTCAGAGGTGAGAGGGGTTTTGGAGAAAACTACTGGTGGTGCAGAAGGCTTCTTTACAAAGCCTCTGATCCAGAGTTTCATATTTATAGCAGTGATGGAGGCCAGATTATTCCAGTTACAAATAGCCTAATCTCATGATTCTGTATACTATGACTTTCTCATCTGTCTTTCTCTGCTTTGATGTACCTCCTCCACCGGACTTTACCATGAACGTCATTTACTACCTTGCAGTGTGCTAGCTGGACATGCCCATTATTTACACAGATGGCACTGAAGGAAAAGTGGAGGTGGGGACTTGCCCATCGCAGTGTGATCTGCCACGTACTTTCTCTGCATTTCCTTTTCTATACTGGCGCTTCATTAAGAAACATCCACTTAAAGACTACATATTTCAAAGCAACAATTTTCTTTCTCTATAGGGAAATACCGATTTGGGCATCAAGTCAATACCCCTATCGGAGAGAGGCCAATATTTTTTAACAGCAACATTTTCATTACTGTAATTATTCTGCTGTCCTAAGCACAAAGGAGAAATGAGTGGCTGATTACTAACTGGTGTTTTAAATTTAAAACCTGGCATGTGCACAAGAACAAAGATGATGAGTGATCTTCTGCCAGCAGCAGCTTAAGATCACTCATAGATTGCTGTGTTGGAATGGGGTTGTGAGCGGGAAGAAGCAAGGTACTTCCGTGGCTGGCAGGGTGAGGCTGGTGAAGAGCCAGGCTCGAGCAGCAGGAGGGAGTAGAGTGTGTAGGGCAGTGAGGTCCTTGTCAGGGATTTTCACTGCCATCCTTAGTGTCACAGGAAGCCACCGAAACTCTATAAGCTGAGGGGTGACTTGATCAGATTTTCCTTTGTAAAGGTCACTGTGGTTGTTGTGAGAAGTATTTGGGAAGAGAATTTTTAGCATGTGATTTTACATCACTTCCTGTCTTATGCCACAGGATCTGTGAAATGAGTTCAGAAGGGATGCTCTGAAAGGCACTTTCCCAATAAATAGAAAGGTCAGTGCGGGTGGAAGTGCTAGTGGGCCACCCGAGACATGCCTTCAGTGAAGGACTCTGCTACCAGACTTGTGGACAGCCTTCAGCTTGCAGTGGAGTTTGAAAACTGACTCAGCTGGGGAGAATTCCCTCTCTGAAGGCGACTCTCTTCCTGCAGACCATGTGAATGAGTGAATAGTATGGAGAGGAGGATCTAGCCATGTCATCCCGAGACAGACCAACACTGACTCTTGTTCCAGAGCTGCTTGGGGGTGGGTGCAACACAGCTGACTTCTCCATCTGTGTACTACTGCTTGTCACGGGTGCCACTCTTATCTAAGGCCACGTCCTGGCCACAAAACTGTATAACCAATAAAACTGTGGTGACATGATATGCTGGGGTAACTTCCTTCTGACCCCACAAACCTTGTGAAAAGAGTAGGAATAAGCCAAAGACAGTACAATGTAGCATACATGAACATAATAATTAAAATTTCTTAATACAAATTGTGTATTTTAGAAAATTTAGGACACGCAGATTAAAAAGGTAAACAAACATCTCATTTATTGCCTTGATGATTACCATTTACTTAAAAATGAAGTGGTTATATTTATGCTTCCAGAAAAGTAGAGTGGGCATATTTTACTTTCTTTCTCAGTACAACTAAAGACTTTGGAATGCTATACACAAAACAAACATCAGAAGATTCTGAGACAGAAGAAGGTAGACCAGTGGGGTGCATCAGAAACTAACAAAAAACAGGTGGTAAATTTCATGGATTTTCCTTCTTCCTGAAATTAAGGAATCTTTAAAAATTTCATGGGTGGAGCTGGTGCAATGGCTCAACCGGCTAATTCTCAGGCTGCCAGCAATGGTATCTCATATGGGAGACAGTTTGTGTCCTGACTGCTGCACTTCCGACCCAGCTCTCTGTTTATGGCCTGGGAAGGCAGCAGAGAATTGCCCAAAGCTTTGGAATACTGTACCCCATGGGAGAACTGCAAGAAGCTTCTGGATCTTGGCTTTGGATCAGCTCAGCTACAGCCACTGTGGCCACTTGGGGAGTTAACTAGGAGATGGAAAATCTTTCTCTTTCCTCTCTGTAACTCTGCCTTTCCAATTAAGAATAAATAAATATTTTTTTTAGAAGTTCAAGGAGATTGTATTGTGATAAAATTGTGTTCTGATTTGAAAAATATGGTATGAAAATATTAATTCCATTTCCCATATACATTTTAAATTACTCTTGTGCTAGTCCTGGATTAGAACTGGAGAAGCTAGCAACATACAAAAGTACATTGCAACAAAACTCTGATCCTGTAACCAAGGGATCAGAAGAGAGGCACGCAAGAAAAAAATGAACAAGTCTAGGACAGTAACTAACTACTCAGTTTCTTCCAAACTTCACAGTCAGAACACCTGTAGCCCCATCTGCAACCTGAACAGCCAAGGCCTAGGTAGAAAGTCTAGGGTTTCATGGTGTTGTAAGAAAACCGCTAATATCCCTACTGGGTGGCAAAAGAGAATATTAAGAAGGGAGCTTGGAGTTCCATCCTGTGAGCTGGTATTAATTTTTTAAAAAAATATTTATTTATTTTTATTGGAAAGTCAGATTTACAGAGAGAAAGAGAGAAAGATTTTCTATCAAGTGGTTCCCTCCCTAAGTGGCTTCAAAAGCCGGAGCTGAGCCTATCCAAAGCCAGGAGCCAGGAGCGTCCTCCGGGTCTTCCACACAGATACAGGGCCCCAAGGCTTTGGACCGTCCTCAACTGCTTTCCCAGGTCACAAGCAGGGAACTGGAAGGGAAGGACACAGGGACACAAACCGGTGCCCATATGGGATCCCAGGAGATGCAAGGCGAGGACTTTTGCCATTAGGCTATTGCGCCGGGCCTAGCAGTTAATTTCTAAGAAGGTAGAACAGC